GTTTTACAACCTAAGTTAAAAATGTCACTGTAGCATGAATTAAGATTTCTTTTTTTTTTCTTAATGAATAAGGTTATTCTTTAAAACTTCTACAAAACCTATTTTTGAGAAAATTTAAATATGTATAAATTTTTAAATTGTCCAAGGGTTTTAGCTTATTCTCATTCTACATTTCACTTAATAAATCATTTTTATTTAAATGCACTTTGGAATTTGAAAAGCATGCATTTTCAGCATGTATACAGTCATGAAGATAGATCATATATTGTTAAAAACACAATTTTGGCTGGTGCCACGGCTCACTAGGCTAATCCTCTGCCTGCAGCGCTGGCACCCCGGGGTTCTAGTCCCGGTCAGGGCGCCGGTTCTGCCCGGTTGCTCCTCTTCCAGCCCAGCTCTCTGCTGTGGCCCAGAAGTGCAGAGGAGGATGGCCCAAGTGCTTGGGCCCTGCACCCACATGGGAGACCAGGAGAAGCACCTGGCTCCTGGCTTTGGATCAGCGCAGTGTGACAGCCGCAGCGCGCTGGCCACAGAGGCCACTGGGGGATGAACCAACGGAAAAAGGAAGACCTTTCTCTCTCTCTCTCTCTCTCTCTCTCTCTCTCTCTCTCTTCCTCTCTCTCACTGTCCACTCTGCCTGTCAAAAAAAAAATTTTTTTTTAACAATTTGGAGTCTTTTAAGATGGTTGAGTAGAATAGGGACAGTGAATGCTCATGACAAGAAAGGACTTCTTGGATTATAAGGATATCAGGGGAGGGCAAAGATCCTAAAAACATCTGTCTTCTGCTGTAGGCTGAATATAGAGTGACCTACAACAGTCTTCCTCATAGCCGCTGGAGGACGTACGAACGGTGATGTGTGCTGGGAAGACATTCCATTAAGTATAGGATCCACATGTCTTCTCTTTCTCCCTTTCTCTCTCTCTCTCTCCCTCTCTCTCTCTCGCCCTCTCTCTCTCTCTCTCGATAGAAGATTCTAGGAGCCCTTGTCTGTATTAGACTTCTGGGTGGCTGAAGAGAAGCTGACAACTGCGTCTGCCAAATTTCCCACAGCTGCCTCCTAGAAAGCCGTTGTGTCACTTGACTGATATCCTTAGTGCAGTCTACGATGAAGAAAGGGATGATATATGAGTGAAACTGACATCTTGAGACTTGGTTGTTGTTTATAGCCTTTCCATCTACTCCTGAGGAGCAATGTTTTTCTACTTACTACTTGTTGAATTTTTTATCTAGTGGAGTATTAACATTGTGATTATAAAGTAAATTGAAAGTATGTCATTGCAAAAATTTAGAGAAAAACAAGAAAGGAAGAGGAAGGAGAATGGGAGCAAGGAAGGGTAGGCAGAAGTATCATTATGTTCTTATAACTGTAGATATGAAATACATGAAACCTGTTCCTTTATATAAATAAATTTTTAAAAACTAAAAAGAAAGGAAGCTATCACATTTTTGTTAAGCATTACCATATCATAGTAGTAAAATTTTAAAATATTTGCATAATACAATTAGCCTTGATATAAAATTGGCTACTCTACAGCTGCAGAGCAGCAGCAGAACTTGTCCTGAGTAGCCCAGCAGGACAAGTTCTGCTGGGTCGCTGGACACCAAGGATGTGGCCACAGTAATCATTTGAGGTGTTGGTGTCCAAGGCCCATGCATGTACAAATGGGCTCATGGCAGAAAGCAAATCAATAGCATAGACTCTGATCAACAGATATCATTGTGATAAAATAGGCTTTAGGTTTAGACATCAGGTTAGCACTATTCGTTCCAACAGGGATGCTAACTTTACTTCTGAGTGTAGGTTGTTTCCCCAGGTTCATTCCCCAGGTTCATACAAGTAGTTCATGGTAAAGTGGTGAGTTTTCAAGATTAGAGACTTCTCTTGACACTTAACTCCGGTATTCAGGCACAGCAAGCTGTCATGCTGCTGTTACAGCTAACTTGTCTTCTTCTATGAGCATCAGAGCAAGCTGGCCACACTGTCTAGAAAAGTCTTGATATCTCTAAAGCAGAAGTATCTTTAGAAGAATTATCTAAGCTGTTTCTAAGGGAGCACTTTTCACAAGACACCAATACATGCATGTGTAGCCTCAAGAAATCAGTTCCAGTTTCAAAAATTGAGTGACATCATTGGATTTCATTTCCTGCAATACTGACATTCAATTTAATGTCACCTAGCTGTCATCTCATACAGATCCCTTACATAGAGACCACAGATAAGCCATCATAGACTCACCAGTAAGTGTTAAATCGGAGAGTAGGATGAATTTTAGAAACATCTGATAGGACACTAGGGAGAAAATATTCGGGGTAAATGAAGAGACTTTAAATATGATTTCATGTTTTCCTCTGTTGTCTTGAAGTTCATGAAAGAAATCTCTTTGCTTTGAAATAATCCTAGTATTCTGTGTACTCTTTGTTTTTTTTTTTCAATTGATCAAACAGATTGATAAGGGAAAGCTATTGATATTCACACACTTCTAGTTTTCAGAATCTCAAAAACATACCTGTTATCTTGAATTCTGAGTCAGAATGGCAAATGCTCCCTTAACATTAATGAATGGCATATCTTATCCACAGTATCCTAAACTAAAGATGGGATGAAAAGAATACATCTTTCTCACAGCTTGTAATAGTGATCAAAAAACTTTGGCTCCTAATTTTTTTAGTACACCTATCCATCTCCATTGTTCTATTATCTACTCCACTAAGGATTGCAATTTTCTTTTAGCAGGGTCTCCTACCCTTCTTTCATCAGCTCTACCCTTCTTTCTCTCCACCCACTCACAAGTCCAGGCTGTGCACAACCTGCCAACTCACTGCTCTCTAATATGCTGCTCAGTCATTAGGGAGCTTCAGAGTCACCCAGGGTCTTCTCATAGAGACCAGACTGCTGAGTCCTCTGCCAGAGTTTCTCACTGAGAGATCTTGATAGGGCCAGAATATTTTCATTTTTAGTAAGCTTCCAAGGAATGTCAATTGGACTGGTCCCTGAACCAGGCATTTAGAATTGCGATTCTAACGCATGAAACTTGCCATGTCACTATCCTGCAAAACAACTCTTGAGTGGCTCCTCGTCCTTCATAATTCAAGTTCTTTAACAGGGCTCACATGGCTCTCCATCACCTCGTCCTTGTCTGTGTTTTGTTTTATCGCTCACTGTGTTATGTGGCATGTTGGTGAATGTTTAAAAACAGGCTGTCCAGATTGGGAAATGAGCATATATGCACGCACACACACACACACACACACACACGGACGCACATCTGTTTAAACAAACAGAAGCCTGCTTTGCTCATATAAACAATGAATAGTGCACAGTTTGCAAATAATAATAAAACTTAGAATCCATTTCATTGTTTCATATAACCACTTGATTTTTATAGATTGCTTTTTATTTTGCAGACTTATTTTATCTATAGTCAAGTACATTCTGTCTTATAGTCTGCTTTCTATTTTTTGATTAATTTTACAAACCATTGCAAAAATAAAAATTAGTTTTTACCACATACTGTGGGAAAATAGGACACTTGTATTTTTTGACAGGCAGAGTGGACAGTGAGAGAGAGAGACAGAGAGAAAGGTCTTCCTTTGCCGTTGGTTCACCCTCCAGTGGCCGCCACGGCTGGCGCGCTGCGGCCGGCGCACCACACTGATCCGAAGCCAGGAGCCAGGTACTTATCCTGGTCTCCCATGGGGTGCAGGGCCCAAGCACTTGGGCCATCCTCCACTGCACTCCCTGGCCACAGCAGAGAGCTGGCCTGGAAGAGGGGCAACCGGGACAGAATCCGGCGCCCCAACCGGGACTAGAACCCAGTGTGCTGGAGCCGCAAGGTGGAGGATTAGCCTAGTGAGCCACGGCACCGGCAGAGACTTGCAGTTTTTTGACACCAATAGCTCACAAAGAAATAAATCAAACCCAATTTATAGTGTTTGTAAATATCAGTAGTATAAATACTTCTACTATGGTGGATTTCAACCTATTAGAAGGATATCCTTAACATTGGAATTGGAAAGAGATGCACTTTAGCAGTCCAATGTAAAGTATTTTTACTATCAGAGAGAATAGTTATAAAAATTTCAAGAGTACGTACAGATGACAGATAAAAAGAGTGAGAGAGAGAGATGTAAAATAGTAAAACAATTAGGAATCAATGGATTTATTAACTTTTAAGATTATTTAATTGCAAATTTGTACAGCTTAATTTTTAATGATGGTTGTCTTTACCTACTAGCTCACATAATGTCTGAGAATCTAATGTTTGGTCCTCAAGAACAGTACAAACTGACTCTAGCACACCACTGAGCTTGCTGTTTTGAACACCATAAAATCCAGACTATTGGACATCACAGCCCACGTCCTGACATGCCTTCCTACCTTTTTCACCAAGCCAACCCCATTCTTCTTAAAGACAGCAGCATTTCTGGCTGGAAACTTTCTGCCATCTTTCTGGGCTAAGTCAGGTGTTCTGTCCCATAAACCCCACCAGTGCCTAAGGCTTCCCTCACTGTGGCATCCCCTTGTTTGTTCTTCAAGGGTTTATCTCAGCTACTGAACTTTAAGCTTCCCTAAGTCAGGGAGTCTGCTTTAGTTAGCACTGAATATTGCCCAACACAGAGGCTGGTACACAGTAGGGGCATACTGTGTACTTCTATTTGCACACAATAATGGGTAACTCTTGGCTGTTGGTTTCCAGAGCTGTGGACTACAGAGGTGATGCCTTCCCTAAGCCACTTCTGCAAGAGAGCAGGGAAGAAACAGCTCTGTCAATCAAACATCTGCGTGAGGGTGAGAGTTAATGACTAGTGCTTACATAACAGATTCCACCTCCCGTAGACCATAGACCAGGAGGTACTGATGGAAGTGAGGTGAGACTCAGAGCAAGGTTCCCCAGTCCCCCACCTCTTCTCTCAATTGCTCTGTTTACTGATCTTTAATTTTTTTACACTTACTTTTGAGCAAGCAGTCTGCACATGAGCAGGGAGGGTCAACTCACCTCGTAGTCAATGTCTAAGGCATCTGTTGCTCCCTTGGTCCGGAAATGCTGTGTGTGTTTATCCACCGTGAAATTCACCTGCTTTCCCACCCGCTCAATCAGGACTGAGTGCCAGTGCTGGTCATCCAGGAGGCTGCCCAGGGTGGCTGAGGGCGCGCTGCTGCTGAGCCGGGACTTGCTGTCATCTGTGAAGGCAGAGAAAGGCAGAGGACATCTGTATCCAGTGCAGATTTGAGTGCCACCAGATGAGCCTCTTTAACTGGAAAAATCAAAAGCAAAATGCTTGGACAATTGAAGCTTTTTGAATGCAAATGTCATACTATAGGAGGAAATTTTCACATGATCTGACCTTTCTGTGTTGAGTTCCCTTCAAAATGCAAATGCACTAAATAACCTACATAAAATTACACTTGTGGTTTCACAAATTTCGTATAGCTGGTACTCAGCTTGGAAAACATTACATACTCTATGCCACCATTCTCTATTCCAAAGGTAAAGACTGTCCATTGCTGCAGGCCCCCAGCTGTGGTGGAGTTGTGAAGGACTAACAGACCCAGAACCACATTCTAGTTCAACTGATACCCACACTCCCTTTCTGACACTCAATGGTATGTTTTCAGTACTTGAGCTGTTAAATTAAAATATATATTTATTTGTGAGACAGAAAGAAACAAAGATTGATAAATGATAGATAGATAGATAGATAGATAGATAATAGATAATAGATAGAACAAGCCCATCTGATGGTTCACTCCCCAAATGCTTGCAACATCTCGGTTGAAGCTTACAACACACAAGAGGCAGGGTCCCAACTATCTGAACCATCAGCTGCTGCCTCCCACAGTTTGCATTAGCAGGAAACTGGAGTTAGGAGCTGTTATCAAAACCAGGCACTTTGATGTGGGATATGGACATCCTAATTGGTGTGCTAACCACTTGCCCAAATGACCGACCCAGGACTTGAACAAGTAAATAGAAAAAGGAATAATATCCTAGTGTCCACAAGTACAAGATTAAAAAGAAGGTTTTGGGGCAGGTGCTGTGGCGCAGCAGGTTAAAGCCTTGGCCTGAAGTGCCAGCATCCCATAAGGGTACGGTCCTAGCCCCAGCTGCTCCTCTTCCGATCCAGCTCTCTGCTATGACCTAAGAAAGCAGTAGAAGATGTCCCAAATCTGTGGGCCCCTGCATCCACATGGGAGACCCAGAAGAAGCTCCTGCTCCTGGCTTCGGATCGGCACAGCTCTGGCCATTGCAGCCATCTGGGAAGTGAACCAGCGAATGGAAGACCTCTCTCTCTGTCTCTACCTATCTCTTTAATTCTGTCTTTCAAATAAATAAAATAAATCTTTAAAAAAATAAAAAGAAGATTTTTCCTTTTAGCAACAACACATATTATTTTTTTAAAGATTTATTTATTTATTTGAAAGTCAGTGTTACACAGAGAGAGGAGAGGTAGAGAGAGAGAGAAAAAAAAAGAGAGAGAGAGATGGTAACATTAATTTGATGGTAACACTAACATTTGATGGTTCACTCCCCAGTTGGCAACAATGGCCGGAGCTGGGCTGATGCAAAGCCTTGAGCCAGGAGCCACCTCCAGGTTTCCCATGTGGGTGCAGGGGCCCAAGGACTTGGGCCATCCTCTACTGCTTTCCCAGGCCATAGCAGAGAGCTGGATTTGAAGTGGAGCAGCCGGTTCTCGAACCGGCGCCCATATGGGATGCCGGCGCTTCAGGCCAGAGTGTTAACCCAGTGCACCACAGTGCCGGCCCCAACACATATTATTTTTGAGTTTAAGAGGAGAAAGTGGACTTTGAGCTGTGCTTGGCAGGAGGGGAGCAGAGATGGGATGAGGAAAACAGTGAGCCAGCCAGTGAGGGAAGTTTGCGGGTGAAGGCAGAGGTGAGAAGGTCATCATTATAGCTGCCTGCTGTATGAATGGCACTGAACTAGGGATGTTACCATGTCTATCCTCAATCGCGTAAGGGAAAACTATGTTTTACAAATAAGTATTCTGAGACTCAACAACCTCTTGCATACATGCTTCCAAGGGCACCCAGAATTTGAACACATGTCTGCTTGGTATATTCTCTGACTTTGGCATGGATATTGAGAAAGCAGACTAAGTAGAGCTTGGCAGACTCACTTGGGAGGATCTGGGATATGCTTTTGTCAATGGAGCCTTCTTGGCTCCCTGGCCCTGTCCCCAACTTCCAACTTTGTGGAAGTCCTTAGCTATCTCCTTCCATCAATATGATTACACAATTTTTTCTCGCTGCAGAATTTTGCCTCAACTTTAGTAAAATGACCAATTGGATACAACCATTACTGATCTACTCCTTTTCAATCATTGGGTTAAGTTTATTATTGAATGGTTTTATTCATTCTCTTTAGTAAGTGAAGGCAAGAGGCTTCTCTTCTCTCTCTAGCACAGTTGAGAGCAGCCTGTGTGACCTTGGGAGCTGCCTCTGCCCTGCAGCCTCCCTACTCCCACCTTGATCTAGCTCTCATACCCTTCATTGAGTTACACCTGTAGCTTCATTAACTGTATGAACAGTTGAGGGCATTTAACAAAGCTGGAGAACTAATGGCTGACTTTATTTTGTTTATTTATTTGTTTTAATTTTCACCACAAATTTTGCAGTGCCAAGCTCTGTTGGACTATGCTAATGTTAACAGATATTTTTCTTTTTCATTCTGCCTCTCTATCTCCTTCCCTTTGTTACCCTTTCCTTCTCTTTCACTTTCTTCCTTCTCTCTGAATCTCTTCTCTTAGAGTGACCAGTGTTTAGGACAAGGATCATTGTGAATGGCCTTGAGCTGAGAAAAAACAGCACAGAGCCCGAGTGCTCTCACCCCTGTCTCCATGCACACACACACACACAGAGCTTATATTTATAAAATAAAACTTGTCCAGGAGCTAACGTTGCTTGAAGGAAACTTAGTGGCCCTTATAAACGATCAGTTCTAGGTAGTAAATCAGATAGATATAATATTGGAGTTCTCACTTTACATTTGATGTGTGTCTGACTTTTTTTCTTAAAAGATGAAAGGCATTTAACAAAGATTTATTTATACATTCAAAAGATGAAAGATTTCTTTATGAAAGTTTCTTTATGTCACTGAAGCAAAGAAACAAAAGGGAAGAAATCACAATCATGGCCTCTTCCCCTCTTGCTTGCTCTATGCTCTGCTTTTGTGAGATTGAAGTGTCTACTGATCTCCTTAAAAGGATCAATACTAAGAATGATTGAAATAAAATCTTTTCATATTTACCTACTCTAAGATTCCTGCTTCAACAAATTTAACCATAACAAATAAATTGATAAATACAGGAGGGCAATTAGAATTTTTCCTTAGTTTCATTTAATTAATGTTTAATAGTAAAATACACATTTATCCTCAATTTTCCCTTAGCATGCAATCTATTCTGAAAATATTTCTTTACCAAAAGGTAAAAAGATTTCCCACTTATTTTTATAGCTGAATAGTATTCCACAGAATGAAAGATGTGCAATTTTATTTAAATTGTTTTCTGTTGGTAGAAACTTAGATTTGCCTTTCTCCTTTACACAGACTGCAATCATGCCTTGTATGTAGAGGTCGTGTTCCATGAGCTTAAGCATGCATTTCTGTAGCATGTACTCTTAGATAATGAATTGGTATTCAAAGGTCTCACATTTGCAATTTTGACAGAAAACACCAAATTGTCTATGAAAGCAGAATCTATTTGAACTACTAGCAATTCCCGAGAGTGCTTTGTACCACAAGCTTGCCAATATAATGTGATCTAGCTTAACAATTTTGCCTGTTTGATGGGTAAAAACTATTTCAGAGTAATTTTAATGTGTTTCTTTTAATAGGAATGAAGTTGAAAGCTTTCTCATTTTTATTTCCTTTACTGTGGAATCTCTGATTATCTCTCATCTTTCTATCAATTTTCTTGTCACTCTGTATTTAGTCCAATTTAAGATCAATTTAATGATTTTCACAGTAGATTTTTGATGTTGTTTTTATGTGTTTGTTTAATTTTTAAGTCATCATTCATATATTTTTGTGTTGAAAAAAGTAATCATTTTTTTCTCTTTAATGGCAGGCTTCCGGATTTTTTTGATCTTTTCAAAGCTGCCTTTTCTGAGGTCACTGAAAAATTCTCCCAAGTTTTCTTTTATTTCATCTTATTTGAAATTTATTCTGGTATATTCTGGACACAATTGTATCTTTGTTTTATATCTTATAATGGCTACCAAAGTGGATGAAGCCAGCAATTTTAAAATCCCCTTGAGAATTTTTCAAAGTAGACTGGGGGTGTCACTTCCAAGTGTAAGGAGCAACACTATCATGTTAGATCTAGGATTAGATCAAGACTTTCTAGCTCCTGTCTGGGATCTCAATTCCTTGAACCTGAAGCTCTCGAGCTGAGGTTGCCTGGTTCTTTGTTGCTATAGTACCCGCCATGCGTTCACCTCCACTTTCACTATCACCATCCTACTGCCCAGGACAGCTGGATCGGTGGGAGCAAGATAGCACGGCTCACTCCATGAGCACTCCCCTAAGGTCTGGAGTTAGCCCTTCTTCCCACACCCTCGCCCTAGTGGAGAACATTCACTCCTCCCATCTCTTCCAACAATCCTGCTACTCATAATTTTAAGATTTTAGGGGAATAAAAAATGCACACTTTCTTAAATAAATAGTGACTACTATTTGCTTGGTGCATTTAATGAAACCATAAACCTTAATTAACACACTTACCATTTCATGCAAAATAGCTCATGAAATTTTTATGAATACTTAAAGCAATTTGTTGGACCTTTCTCAAAAGAGGATTAACATTGCTCCTTGTTTACACTGTTCATTTACTTAGCCAATATTTTCATTGCCTGAAGAAAATAGAAAATTGAATACCACCAATCTTTTCAAAACACATGTCAATTAATATTGAGGAATTCAGAAAAAATGTTCACAACTTTGTAACTAAAAACCTACTTTCTGGAAGCATATTCTGAAATGACAATTTTAAATGTTGTAAATATTATTTTTTAATCGCTAACGTTTTAAAAATTGGAAACAATATCCAATAATTTACAAAGAGAAAAAGACAACAACCCTGAGTTCATTTCATTACACTTGCCAGATGGAATATTACATAGCCATTAGAATGGTATTTATGGGGTGAACATTTCATCTA